GGGTGATGGGTATTGAGGAGGGCACCTTTTGGGGATGAGCACTGAGTGTTGTATGGAAACCAAGTTAACAATAAATTTGATATTAAAAAAATAAAAACAAAACAAAACAAAACAAAAAGAAAGTGGCTGCATCCACATCACTGTCAAAATTGCAGCCAATGGCTCCAGGAAGTGACGTTAGTTAGGAGGCAGAAGTTTCAAAGAGGCCACAATAGCTCCAAAAGACAAAGGATCCAAGTAGTTTGAAGCAGGGTTATGGTATGAATCCCCAGAAAGTACTCCCTGGCAGGAATCTGGAGAATGTAATGGGTTATTACCCAACAGGATGTCAGGGACACTGGCTCCTAACAATATACCACCTCATAGAGGGCTGGGAGGCCCTGAGGCTCCCTCCCAAATGGAGCAAAGATATATGTCTTGGTGATTAAGGGCTGAGCTAAAGTGCTTTGCTTTCATCCCTCCCACACAGCCTGTCGAGGCTGGGGCCAGGAGTGACCACTCACCCCCAGTAGAGTCCACTCACCTGAGGTTGGGGCCCAGGTGTCCTGGACTGAGGACTGCCTTACATGCCTCGTGGGGAGAGTAACACCAGGCAGGCTGAGGCGAGTGATGTGTGAATGTCTGTGACCCCTAGTCCTGTTTCTATGTCCAGATGTGCAGATTTCAGCAGTTTCACTATATTCTGCAGGCCATGCTCTGGTCAAGGCTAGGTTGATATGCTGGGACAGGTCAGGGATGTCACTCATCTGGCACAAGCTCGATTTCACTGAGATTAAAAAAAATTTTTTTTTAATGTTTCTTTATTTTTGGGAGACAGAGACAGAGACAGAGCATGATCAGGGGAGGGGCAGAGAGAGAAGGAGACACAAAATCCGAAGCAGCCTGAGATGTCAGCACAGAGCCCGATCCAGGGCTCAAGCTCAGGAACTGTGAGATAATGACCTGAGCCGAAATTGGACGCTTAACCAACTGAGCCACCCAGGCGCCCCAGGTTTCCACTGAGATTTAAGCCCAGACTCTTTCCCTGGGGAGGGTCCCAGCTGATCTGAGCCATAAAAGTTTGGGAAAAGGGCATACTCGAAAGCTCCAACATCAAATCGGGCCTCAAGGCCATACCCACGAGTCTCCTGGAGGGAGTGTCAAAGAAACATTGCTGAGCAGCAGTGGATGATTTCAGAGGCCAATGACAGGATGTGCACCTACTAATATAGGCCATGCACCAGGGATCCTCTTAGCACAGCGTTTTTTTTTCCTATTCAGAGAAGGATGGAATGAGGAGAAAAACAGGGCTTTTCTTCTTGAGAAATGCTATATGAACAAGAGTAGAGTTTATGCGCTCAGGAAAGGGGCAGCAACATCCCCACTGAGGAAATGCAATAATGTTCAAAGATGATAACTGAGTTGAAGAAAGAGCTTTTTACAATCAAGCTGGCTCCCCTACCTGCTGCCTAAGTCATTTTAGGCAACTTGCTTCATTCCGTAAGCTTTGGATTTTGATCTATACAGCAAGGACTAACAACTTTTCTGCTTACTTCCACAGCTATTGTGTGGATTTGGTCAGCTTTTTCCTGGTTTTGAAAGTGACTATATGAAAGCTATCATTAGTGCTACTTTTGTTAAGGCTACTTGAACTTGGCCTCTCTCTCCTGAAACTAATATTACACTATATGTTAACTAACTGGAATTTAAATAAAAACTTAAGACTACTTGAACTTGGTATTCACAAATTCAGTCTCTAAGGCTCAGTTCAGATTGTGTCCTAGTTTTAAAACAGTAAGAATGAGGGGCGCCTGGGTGGCGCAGTCGGTTAAGCGTCCGACTTCAGCCAGGTCACGATCTCGCAGTCTGTGAGTTCGAGCCCCGCGTCGGGCTCTGGGCTGATGGCTCAGAGCCTGGAGCCTGTTTCCGATTCTGTGTCTCCCTCTCTCTCTGCCCCTCCCCCATTCATGCTCTGTCTCTCTCTGTCCCAAAAATAAATAAACGTAAAAAAAAAAAAAAAAAACAGTAAGAATGAGCTAGGAGAAAAAGAAAAGGCAACTGGAAACTAAGCTGAGGGAGGTCAGGCTGCACCCAGCCGATATCACCAACCTGACCCTCTTCATGCCACACTTGGGGGACTTTCACATTGTGGTCACTCTGGGCCGTGAGAGAGCCACTTGAACCCCACTTCTGCCTGTGCTTCCCCAACCCAAAAGCCAGCTCAGACATAGGTACCAGGTAAGACTCAGGGCACAGGATAAGCAATGGGTGGATGTCACAGAGGCCCCACATCAAAGGATCCTTGTCCTGCTGAGGCAGTACTCTCTCAACTCGGGCTGCACATTATAATCTGGGATCTTTTAAAAATTCCAGTGCCTGGGCCCCCATCATGACCAAATTAAATTAGAATCTCTGGGAACAGGGGTGGTTAGTTTTCATTTGTTTTTGAGAGCTTTCCAGATGATTCTAAAGTGTAGGCAATATAAAGTGTAGGCCTTAAACAAACATGGCCAGCTAAAAAGCCACAGCATAGGTCTCTGGAAAGATTCTAGCCAGAGGCCAGACTCAGGCCCATTCTAATCACTGGTCCATGTTCTCTCAGCCAGAGTGAAGGAGCAAGAAAGCAATGAGCTTATGGTAAGACAGGGGAGGGCATACCTATGGGTATATGTGAAGGTAATTTATTCAAACAGAGGACCAGCAATTGTGTTGATTTCCTTTACCTTACTTTGTTTCCTATTTGGAAAGGCATCTCCTTCACGGCCCTCACCGTAGGAGGAGTGTCTCCAAAATAAGGTCTGGTATCATCATGGTCTTTCTCACCTTTAGTGAGCACAGGAGGAAAAGCCACCATTGTGAAGGAGTGGAGAAAGATCTGGGATGCCACTGTGTGATGACCCAAGTGTCTAAGGTGGACTTTGTGAGATCAAGCTGGTATTCAAGGTAGGCAGAGGGGCCCCCTACCACTCCAGGCCCTGCTGCTAGGTCCTGGCAAAAGGCTTCTCAGATTGTTTCTCTTGGTTGATGCAAGGCCCTTTTTCTTTGCCCATCTCCATTACTAGAGAGGGATCCTGCTTAAGGAAGAGATGTTGGCTTTGTGGCAGATGGCTTGGATCTCACTTGGCCCCAGGCAGCTATTACCAGCTCCTTTCACCCTCTCATAAGGATACATCTAAGGAGCCCAGGCCACAAGAAGTATGCCCACCCAGTCTTGATCCTTGGATCCCTCAGAAGTGGATCTTCATTCAAATTTTCACAAATGCTGCAACAGGTGACTGTCTGGCTATGCCCCCTCTCTCCCTGAGGGACAGTGGGAAGGGAGCCTTCACAAGGGCTCATAATAACAGCTATCATGAATTTGAAGACTGCCAAGATTTCCCCCTTCCTGACCTTGGAAGGGAGATTCAGGGGAGTCTGCAATACCCTGTCCACTAGGAGACTGGGTACACTCGTTGTCTCCCTGCTACTACTGCTCTTAGCTGTAATTACAATTCTTACTAGATTCTTACAGGGGAGGGACACAAATGGAGGAAAAGAGACGAGACCAAAATAGCTCTCATCCCACATTCTAAACCTCACAGGAGGGGTGCCATGGTAAGGGCTGTTGGATTTCAAGCAACTAGCTTGGCTGTGCTAATCACTGGCTGGCCTCTGGCTTGTTAGGTCACAGGCAGAACTCGGGGCCCCTACTACACCTGTTTGGATGCCAGCCTCAATCTCAGCCAGAGCTACAGCTGGATGCCAAGCTCCTGCGCCCACACACGCAACACTTTTGGAGTCTCCCTGTCAGAACTGAGGCACCACCAAGGCACACAGCCCAGGAAGGGACAATACCATGGGACTGGGTGGCAACATTAGTGAAGCCACTGAATCTTGCTGGCTAGTGGCAAGCTCACATGTGTGGCTCTCCATTCTAATACCCCTTTCTCCTTAACACTCCATGTCCACACCAAAGCCATTAGGCCTCAGGGATTCTCAACCAGAGACAATGTTATGCCCCAGGGGACCTATGGAAATATCTAGAAACATTTTTGGCCATCACAACTGGGGAGGGATGTTACTAGCATCTACTGAGTAGAGGCCAGGGATGCCACTAAACATGCTACACCACACAGGACAGTCCCCACAACAAAAGAACGGTTGACCCCAGACCTGAAATGTGAAACTATGAGGGTCAGCTCCACCTTACCTGGGATCCTCTAGCACTTCCAGGTATTCCCATCCTTCCTTGGGGATATCCTGAGGGATGAGGCAAATAATGGATACATGATTCAGTGGCGTCCCCGGTCTGTGGACCCTGTTAATCCTTCGTAGGCAGAGTTGGGTCAGCCACAGACAGGTGGCAGTTCTAGTTTGGAGTTTTTATAAATATGGAAGTCATGCATGAAACCCCCAACCATACACCTCTTCCCATAGAAGCTGTAGCCAGAGATCTGGTATGCAGCTTTAAGCAAGGGAGGCTCACGAGGGCCTTGTGGCTAAATCAGACCTCTGGCCTGCTGGGGCTGCTTGAAAATTTGGGTCCAGTCTGTGGTCTCCTGAACTGGCACTTGATACAGCAGGGTTAAAGCAGGCAGCTGACATTCTTGCTTAGCCCAGGGCTTCTCTGTGACAGTGAAGGTCAAAGCTGTCACCTGCTTTGTTGCAGTCACTCCATTAGCTTTCTTGCCTCCAGGGCTGCCTGGAGCCCTGGGTTGGACTGCCCCCAACCCAGTCCCCAAGTTCTCTGACAAGGTCATGGTGACAAGGAAAGACATGTGTTTTAATAAGTCATGTACTACTCCATCACCTCCAGTTCCCAGCCTGGAGGCAAGAGCTGCCAGCCTAACTGGTCTGGGGCAGATGTTAGACCAGTGGAAACTGCTCTCCATTATGGTATGGGTGGAAAGATTATTGGATTTAAGGCCAGGAGAACTACATTCTAGCCCCAACTGTACTAGGAACTTGTTGGGTGACCTTGGGCAAGCCACCAACACTCTCTGGGCTACAGTTTCCCCATCTTCTAATAGCCACTCACCAAATCTAGACCCAGAGCAAGGGTGTGTGTGATTAGCAGTGGCTGGTTCAGTATAGGGAGCTTTCCTCCTCCTGCACATTCTCTTCTGGGAGACTCCAGTGAGGGTCTTCGGTGAAGACCAAGACCAAACTCATCTTCCCCTCCCAACCTGGCTTTCTCTCCAGATTTTCTACCTCCAAAGGCACCAAACACCCAGGTTTGAAACACTAGTCATCCTATTCTGTCCTTTCTTGGCTCATGTATTTAGTCACCAAGTTCTATCAACTTTTCCATCAGGTGGTCACGGTTTCCCACGCCCAACCGTGCTCTAGGTTCTCATGTCTAGATTACTTAAGCCCTCCAAGTTCCCAGGCTCCAGTCTCTCCTTTCAACAGGTTGTCCTGCCAGCTTCTTCTTACAAGAGCCAAGCTTTGACCTGGCTACTCTCCTACTCTGCAACCTAGCAGGCTTTCCACTGCCCACAGCCCAGGGTAGACACCAGACTGTCTTCCACCTAGCACTTGAGGCCTTCTACACTCTAGACCCAGCCTGACTTGAAGCTGAAAATTCCTATTATGCATCAGGATGGATGCATCCTATGAAATCTTCCTTCCCTGACCTCTCACTAACCCCCTACCACCCAATGGCTCATTTAAATTAAATGACCTTCTACACATTTCCATTACCTTCTCAGCAGTACATGAGACTGTCTCCCCCATTCAAATGGAGCTCAACTGGGTCTTATTGGTCTCAGTATCTCCACTGCAGTGTAATCAGAGCTAC